CAAGAGTTGCAAAGTTCATCCCTCAACTGTATAGTGGCTTGTAATGTTACTGCTGACATTAATAAGATATGACAGCTTGCCTTGTGATTTTCCTCTTTCCCTAGTTATAATGTAGGAGCTGAGTGTAAGAAACATTCAGTGATTTCTTGATACGGTTTTTTTAAAGGAATGTGGCAGGGGAAGAATGATGCTGACATTTTAAAAATGAGATAAATAAGGGCTTGAAGTCACTTCTGTGTAGGCAATAGTTAGAATGAATTTATCTGCTAAATGCATGAACAATCAAGTACAATGAGCTATTGTAGATGTCTAACTTATTCAGCTCCTTGAAGAACCTAGGTATAAGTACTATTGAATTCAGTGGAATTTGCTTGGAATTAAAAATGAGTAATCTGAAGTGTTCCTGTTATTATAGAAAACAATTCTCTCATTCCTTATCTTTGATAGTGGCTGGTGATGATTGATGTCATTTGGAGAATAACATGCCAGGGAAACACTAGATTACCTGCCCTATTATATCCCAGTTCCACCATGAAATTGCTAGCAGCATTCCAGCTGTAGTAATTGAGTAAGGATTTGGCTAATGTACTGTATGTGAGTTCTTTTTTAATATTGTAAAGGCAGGAATGTCTAGTCCAATGCAGGTAGCCAAGACCAAAGAAGGTGAGGCAAGAATAGATTCTTGTAAGGAAGTTTTAATGCTAATTTGGGGTAAATACAGAATTTTAGAAATTGTAAGAAGAATTTCCCACCTCGCTTTATAGAGAGTTAATTAAGCAGAAGCTCAGTGAGTGATCTGAACACTTTTCTCCAGATTTCTTGGCACCTAGAGTAAGTTGACAGCCAAGGGCTGACTCACCCTCTCTCTTGATTGTTGAGTGCCTACTCTTTATTCCATTCCTTTCCCAGCTTCTCCACAGTCTCTCACCAGGAGAAATGCCAAGTACTGTATAATGATTTATGAAATTAAGAAAATTTGCCTTGAAGGATGGTTAAAGGGAAAGTAGTAGAATGGAATATTGGCTTCCCTGAGTTAAAATTGCTCGCTTGCTATAGATAGGCAAATAACAAAATTACATTTCTGTTATATGCCATAAATACATGATGTTGCTTTCCACAAAAATGAACGAGAGTGTACAGCATTGTTTCCTGAACTTGGAAGTTAGAGAGAGAAATTCCAAATAAATCTAGTGCTAACAGTAAAAAGACAATGAGTTGACGATTTTAAACTCAGATTCAAGATTATGCATAACAGCAAGGAGGAGTCTTTTTAGATAGGGTCTATAGATTATCACCCGGCATTAAACCAGGGATGGTGCACATGATGAATGACAGTTCTTACTGTCTTCTACCATTGGTCATATTGGCTGCCTGTCATGAGTTCAGCCACCTTTGGAAGGGTGCATATATTAAAGAAAATATTAAGAGCTATTGCTCTTAATATAAACTTTGGGATTAAAGCATAGATTTGCTGCGTTCATATATCACAGTAAACCTCAGTGTATTCAAAGAACTGGTTTGGTGTGGTGTTGGATTAAAAGTGCAACTGGCTGACTTTGAGTGGCACTTTATCAGCCAACCTACTTCACATTGTTTCAGGGAAAATAGAAGGAGGGAACATATTATGCTGCCTTGAATCATAGGAAATAGAAGTGAGATATAAATCTATCTGGTTTAAATTTATTGCAGTTGTCTCTAAAATACCGTTGTATAAGACAGGAACTTTTACATAGTGTTGAAATGAAGCCTGATGCTTATCTGGCTTTTTTTCTTCCTAGGCACTAGATGAACCAAAATTTTTCAAACCATGTTAATGGGATTATTTGGGAATCCAAATGTCGCCATAATGAAACATTGTATGTTTACTGCTTGGTAGGCTTTCCTCTTTGGAGTGAATGATAAGCATGTTTTTCTAGTATATGGTTTTGTATTATATTGGGACTCTCATCAGCAAGTGGAAAGAAGAAGGGAATAAACAAACTTCTAGGGAAGATAAAAGATGGATCTGTAAAGGTGTATCCCTAGGTAAATTGGAAAAAAATAGTCACCTTCAAAATAAAAGCAATGCAGTTGTATTGCAAGTATGGCATATACTTGCTTACTTTGATTAATAATTTCCAGTTGACCTCAGGCTGCCTGGACAGAGACACCCAAAGGGCTGGATGTGGCCGAGGTGTGTGTGTTCTGACTTAGGCTTCCTTAGAAAACGTAGAACACAATCTTAATCCTGGCAAAACCTCTTTTATTTCCACAGCTGTGAATTACATTCATTCACAAGGCTTCACATACAGTCTTTCAGGGGAATGTTGATAAACACCCACCTTACCACACTTGGAATGCGGCCAGAGAACTATCTGCCAGATGCAGGGAAAAGCCAAACTTGACACAGAGTCAAACAGAATTTTTCAAAGCTTGTGTTCTGAGCAAACGAACTAATTGCTTCCTGCCTGTTTGCTCCTCTTTTATGTCCTATGGGAGGGAGCAATCCCTGATTCCTGAGTCGACCCTGCTTTCTCAATTGTTCTTGTCTTCTGCTAGAGCTGCGCATGCTCAGGCTGGGAACTGGCTCCATAAGCTCCCCCGCATCACTGCTGCCTGAGTCTGAAGGCAGCTGCTGACTGCCAGCCTGCCCTGGCCCCATCTCTGCCCTTGATGCAGCGCCCTCCTTCAGATCTTCCTTAGCCTCGAGATCCAGCCCAGGTTCCTCCCCAATCTCCTCGCTACTGTCTGATTCTGCTGCCAGCTCCGTCAGCTGCCGGCAGGCCACAACAGTGTGTGTGTAAAATGCCCAGGTGATCTAAATCAGGGTAACTGATCTGTGGGGGTGTATCTTTCTCCTATACCCCAGTGAACAATGGTTGACTTGGCTGATCTGCCCCTCTTAGATTTTGGGGGGCTTAGAATAATGCTACCATACACACTCGTATATATAACACAGTCCTATATTGCATTTACCACAAGAAACATAAAGATCATTTGGATGTGCTTGGAACAACTTGAAGCATATTTTGATGGACAGTTAGGCTGAAAAGGAAATTATTCATTAAAATCTCTATTATATTGAAACAGAACAAAAGAAGGTGGAATTTAAAACTGGCATATACAGATAGTCCTTGACTTACAACAGTTCATTTAGTGACCATTCAAAATTACAATGGCACTGAAAAAAGTTTTTCACACTTATCACCATTTTAGCATGCCCATGGTCATGTGATATACATTCAAATGTTTGACAACTGACTCACATTTATGATGGTTGGAATATCCCAGGATCATGTGGCCTTTTGCGACCTTCTGACAAGCAAAGTCAATGGGGAAGCCAGATTCACTTAACAACCATGTTACTAATTTAACAAATGCAATGATTCACTTAACAACTGTGGCAAGAACAATCATTAAATGGGGCAAACTTGCTTAACAAATGTTTCACTTAGCAACATAAATTTGGTTGTTACTCGGGGACTACCTGTAGTTTCAAAATGGGAAACTACATTGCAGCTCCAGCATTAGCATGGGTTTAAGATCTCCTCCAACGTAACTATATTCTCTCATGTTATAAAATAGAATAGAATAGAAAAGAAAAGAATTCAATACTTTATTGGCCAAGTGTGATTGGACACACAAGGAATTTGTCTTGGTGTAAATATTCTCAGTATACATAAAAGAAAAGATACATTATGTTATGTATCCTGTAAGGCTGATTTCAATTAATCTATCCATGAGGTGCCAGAAGAATGAGGAAAGCCTGGATCCTAAAGGGTTACCATGATAACTACTCAGTGCCCTTTTACATTATGAATAAACTAGAAATAACCAGTACAGCAGTTTTTATGAGTTTAAGTTATGATCAAATAAAAACCTTAAGAGCCCTTCAAACTACTGCAGAGTTAATGGTTATACAGTCCTTTCTAGTCTTCAGAATCAAACCTCTTAATGTTGAGTATTCTTCAGAAACTGATTCCAGTTATCAAGAGGAAATACTGCAAAAATAATTGGATACATTTCTTTGTTGCATAATTTTTCTGACCTCATCATATGGCTTCCATTATCTTCAACTGAATACTTTCAGCGTTCGTTGAGTAAATATTCCTAATTTTTTTTAGGTGAGAAATGGGTCTAGTGACATGAGAGGTGTAGAATTGTTTTCTGCTCTTGGGCAATTGATTGCCCGCATGCTGGTCTATCTTGAAAAATCATAGGTATAAAAAGATAGAAAACACTAATCATGAGTGGTGTATACACAAAGATGCTGAGAACACAGCCTCCCACCTGCCTCTTTCTTGCATGTTTATTCATGTAATGTACACTTGTTTTTATGGTCGTTGGCCAGGGGTTGGATACCCCTAGTCTAGGGCATTCTCCAATGTTTCAATCACAAGTCAGGTTTTAAGCCTGACTTCTGTTCATGATCACATGAAATTCATCTTCATGCAAGATATGTGACTTGCACTGAAGAGGCTTTATGAATATCTGCTGCTATAGGTTTATGTGTTTTGCAAAAGGGAATGGGTTTTACACTTAAAACTATTTTTAATCTTTGTATAGAGACATGAGCAGTTGATTCCATATTCTATTATATAGAAATAGTTAAATTTTGGCATATTGCCATGATATGAATATGTGCAAAGCAAGGATCTAATCCTCCTACCAAACACACTTTGCTGATAATTTTAACCTTAGTTAATTCAATTTTGTGATTGTTCTGATCATTTCCCATTAAGGTGTTAGTCACTGCTCCATTTTAAATATAATAGGCATGTCTGATGATGTACTAATTATTGATTTTAAAAAATAGCAACCATGTTTCTCAGATGTCGGAATTTGTCTGCTTCAGTTATTTTAAACTTCTTGTTCCAGTTAACAGACAAAGGATGATCGTATAATTTTCACTTATTTGAAACTGAAAAAGAATAACATTGAAAATGCCAAGTAAAGAAGATAACATTGACATACACATTCATGGTAAAGAAAGTTTCTTTTCATTTCACAAATTGTTCCAGGGTCCAAAGGGAGAGAATGTAGGGTCAATCACTCAACCTCTTCCAAGCAGCTACTTGATCTTCAGGGCAGCTTCTGAATCAGACGGTGAGTTTTGTTCTTTCTTTGTTGCCTGATGTAATTTATCACCATCCCACAACCCAGGAAAGTTTTTGCAATTACATTGAAATCTCCAATATATTCAAGCAGTTGTAATTTTGAAAGATGAATAAATTACAACCTTGTTACAAGTAGGTTACACTGGGATGCAAAGGACTTGTTTTCATCTTCTAGGTTGCAACAGACACAAGCTTTGGGTTTTGTATTGAAAAATGGGTGAATGCAGCTGGAATGCATTTTCACTGTAAAGTACATCTAAAATAGGGAAAAGAATTAGCCACATTCTGTTACCACTTCCCACCCTTCATTCCACTTCACTGCCTGCTCATAGTAGAGAACAAAAAATGCTAGTGTTTGCTGTTGGCATAAATATCAGATTTTATGATTCCTTATTACAAAGGGAAAATTTACTAACCCACAACATATTACCTTTGTGCATGTCATGCAAACCATGATTCCTTTCTTTGCCTGTATAAGTTGTTGCAAAGGCAACAATGAGTGAGAGCTTGGATCTACTCAAGGGGTTTTCCCAGTGTTGTGATATTTATTTTGATTTTTGATACATTTTTAGCTAGTCAGTGTTGAAGTGACACATTCCCTACAATATATATTTTTCCTCTTTGCCTCTTTTTACCACTGTTATTCAGAGAGACCATGGTTTCATTGTACGGCTAAACAACAGGTGTTTCAAAATGCAAAGGAATGGAAGTTCAAGTATATGAAAGCATGCACTAATTGTTTTGGTTTTAAACTTGATTACTGTGTACAACCACAAACATTTAAAAAGGCTGAATTTGGAGCAAACAGCCACAGGCAGGGCTATAAGATGGTCACAAACAGCTTCTATGTCTTGTACAATTAACAAATTTTATTCTAGTGTTTGATTTCTGTTCATGCATTAAATACAGTGGTTTCCTTAATTTACTCTAGTTTGAATGCCATTGAGCACAAACTGTGTTTTAAAAATTGTCCTTGCTATGATTCACATGAAAGGAGATTCGATTGTAGAACGTGCTTTGGTCTACAACCTTTTTTGTTACATTTTTTAAAAATAGTTTATATTAAGAGTTCAAACAAAATATATTACAGTACTATATTCTGTTTGAATTGTTTAACATGAAATATCTATAAGTAAACTTAATTGTTCTTGCTGAAATATAATTTCATATTCAGTTATGGGTCTGAGAAGTACATTTACAAGTGTATTTTTCTGTAAACTAAAAATCATAAATTTGGAATGGTAACATATTTGCAAAGAGACTGTTATAATTAAAAGGCATATGTTAAATTTTTCATCAATGCTTTGAATCAAGCAGTGTTTTCTCCAATAGGAGTTGGAGCCCAATCATAGATGTAGACAGAATCAGGCAGGATCGTCTGTTCCTTCTCTTTTTGATAGTTTATTTTTTCCCCTTGATATACTGTGACTCTCTTTCTTCAACCAGGCAGTCTTCTTTTATAGCGTGTGAATCAAGATCAGGTGATTTACTGTGAATTAAAGGATTCCACCCTTAGTCACTATTTTAAGTCAATTTGCAAATTCTTCTGAATTGGGACACTGAGCTCCCATCCTTTAGAAACCCTGAACTCCTAGAGGATTTTCTGAGACCTTGATTGATTAATTAGAGATGAAAATTGCCTTTTCAGTGTAGCAAAAATGAATACAAAATGTTTGGGGATAAACAGGGTTTTCAGACTTCTTGGTTTTTTTAGTTACTATCCTAAATTTTGTGAGGAAAACTTTACTGAATACTTTTCTACTGGTGCTTTGAATTCTGTTTTCTTTCTCTTCCCAAGACAGCTACAAGGCATAATTAATTTCGGAAAGTAGTAGTGCACAAAATGACAGGGTATTTCAAATATTGCTCCCAAGTCTGCCCATGGAAAAGAAATGAAAACCAATCAGTCCCTCAGGCTTTTGGCAGCAATTGAGTAGCTCCGGTGGCTGCCTAACAATCTAAATCTTAAAAGCTATTACCTCCTTCAGGATCACTTTAACAGGCCTTCTGTTTTATCTTGAATTACAAATCAAGGTACTTTATATTTCTTAGTAATTCTGCCAAAGGAGACTAGATGCAGGTTTTTTTTTTTCTAAGGACTTTTATACTAATGCCACCTTGGGGGAAAAAACTGAAATAATTAGTCATATAATTCTTTTTTGACGAAGGTAGATTGTGTTGACCTGTCTTATTGCCAGTAGCCTAAAGGCTTCATCTTCATTGTTAGGAGTTGGATGTAATAAACAGTATGAAATTAAGAAGCAGCTGTTTTTTATTTATCTCCCAGTTGGACTGCCATGTCCTTGAAACTACCCCTCCCTAACAGAAACTGAATTTTTCTATGAAGAGGCAAATTGAGTGATATACAGTTATTTTCACATTTCTGTTTTGTCTTTCCTTCAGCCTAACAATTCACTTTTTGAAAACCAGAGTTGCCAAAGGTTTGCTCCCTTGCTCTAAGCCACCAACTCTCTTTATCCCATAAGCATGCCATGTCATGTCTCATATGGCTTATCATTACATTTCTCGATAGATGAGGCATCGTGGAACTGCAGTCCAACAATATATAAATGACATTGTCTATTCAGATGCGAGATATGTTAAATGGGTAAAAGAGAATAGGTTAAGACCAATTTGTAGCATAATCCCATTCGTTTTATTCCAAATCGATTTTCGGTAGAAATTGCTCTCAAGAATGTAGTCATGGACATATGCTTGCAGCCTCCATTTGCTTTTATGATTCAGCAAATCAGTTGCCTTGGGTCTCTTAAATCACAGTGAAAACTGTATTGGAGAAAGAATTGTGAGATTGCTGAATTATAATTCTTGGCTACAACTAGTGTGGCCTGTCATGACCAAGTCTTCACTAGAGTAAGGCTGCTGTATCCTAGAAGATGACAGCAACAATCCATTTGCAAGACATGTTGCCAAGAAAACTACACAGACATGTCCATGATGTCACCAGGACATATACTGAATATTAAGTAGGCTTTAGTTATACAATTATTTTTATGTTGGGTGTGCAAGAAAGACCCAGTAGATCATCATCAGATCATCATCATCTGTCTCTGGAGGATTCTTCTTAATAGCAAATACAAGAAAATGGTATTTTGATAAATGGATATTTATTATAATATTTATTATCCATTTATCAAACAGCCAGATAAATGTGATAAGGCAGAAATAGATCTCAATAAAACAGAGTATACGGTATTTCTAAAGGATCCAGAAATTCTGTTTGATGTTCAGAGAAATATTAGAGGTGTTAGTACACACTTTTTGCTTTTCAATGAATAGAAATTGCTTGGTTTTGCAGGAACCATAACAAATATTCTCTTTTTTCAGCTGTAGTCTACAATTAAAACATGTTCTGTAAGCTTGTGTCTTCTTTATTTTTAAATGACTGGACCGTAGATTCACTTGTGTATTAACAGTGTAATTGTTTAATATGACATGTTACATTTCACCAGATTAACAGAAGCCAACTTTGTATATTGATTTTCATCCACTGGTACCGTTTGTGAAGTATGTGAGGCAAAAAGGCATTATGTTTTTAAGTCTCAAGTACAGATACTTAGACTTAAAAACATAGTACAACTCTCTCTCACAGATACTTAGAAAAAACATGGATACCACAGTTACTATTATAAATAAAATAATTTTGCCTAACATTCTCAAAGGCCAACTATTAAATTAGCCTATTTAAGTATTAATGTCTTTATGTACAATGTTTCAAAATATACACAGATTTGAAGACATACAACAAGGAGGATACAATTCTTCAATAAGAATAATGAAAATGGTGTCCTGTGAAAACATGAACTTGCCTTATTCACCTTATTCAATTGCAGGAAATCTCATTTATAAAATTAAAATATTGATACTTTTAATAATAGATCCAAATACTGAGCAGTGATTTTCCTACCAAGGAGCCTCAAATTATATTTAAAAGCTAGCAAAGTTTAGTGAACAATGGACGATTGTCAGTGTAAGTGTATGCCAGAATAATGATCATGAACAGGTTGAAAGGTGCTGTTGGTTTTGGACAATTGGAATTATAATCAAATCAGATCAAATCAATAAATAATCTTACAGTACTAGAGCTATTGTTATATTAGAGATACAGCTCCATCTATAGGAGATAAGATGGTACTACTGCACATAAGCGACCTTTTCTCAACTCAACCCTGCTTTGAACCAGAGCTGGGGACATCAAGATATGGAGACAGAAAAAACACTCCTGCTGGGAGAGTTTGAGCAATCCTTTTCCCAATTTGCTACAGAGACCAGGGAGGCCTTCAAATAAGGAGCTGTCTGTGGCAAGACTGGACAGATAGCAGCCGAAGGACAAGATGGGAAGCCTTATATTGTCTTGAAAGACTTGAACTTAAATGTTCCTTCCTTCTATCCTCCATGCTGCTTAATCCTCATGAGGATAAGACTGGTCACTCACTGATTGTCACAGCCTCTGCTTTTTGTGGGTTTCCCCTCTTGTTTTGGCCTAATTTATGTCGCTGAGCCAGGTAATTGGCAATCTGTGTACCTTTTATCCAGCAGCTGCATTGAAGACTTTTTCCTCAGTCTTTCTTACTAAGAAATTCTGACCAGGAGCTTCATTTTCTTTGGCTTTTGATTCCATCCATACCTTCCAAGTTGAGTGCTTTAAAGAATTAGATATATCATGAAATCAGAGCTGTGGTGTGAATCCATTATCCAGAAAGAGAGTCAAATTTTCTTTATTATGCCCCAGTGACATTAAGTCTGATGGATATCTTCTATATAATTTGAGTACTAATTCTGGGTATTTCCAGATTTTACACCTATGCAAAAGGTGCCAGTTTGGAAATAGAAATAGTCAAGTTTAAATGCCAACTTTCTACTTATGACATTTTTTTCATGTCATATGTACATATCCCAGGAATTTCATTTTTGTTACATTTCTTTAAAAAGCATCTACTCTCTTCTTCTGGAGGTAAATCTAGAATTTCTTAAACTTTCTGCAAGGCTTGGCTCTTAGCTACCCATAACACAGTTACTGTAGCCGAGCGTGCTCCATATCATTATCCTTATTCTACTTTTGCCATTAATTGCTAGATTATTTTTAGGCTTCTTTTATGACTCACAACGAGTTTAGGAATTTTGATGGAAACTAAACAAAGCCTGGCGGCAGTGCTTTTATTTAACAGAGCTGATTTCACATCTTTTTCTCTCTACCCATACCCTTCTTTTTTAATTCTTGGTTTTGGTAAGGTTTGGCTTAATTTTTAATGGTATGAATTGAATATTTGCTCTCGGTGTTCACTGGTGAAAAATTACGTTTGACTTCCATTTTTATGCTTTGTAGATAGAGTGTTATTCATCACATTTTCTTTAAAGGAAAAAAAATAATTTTCATTGGTTCGGTGTTGCCAGTGTGAAATTGGAAACAGTCTTTGTTGTGCATTGCCTACTTTGAGTGCTTTGCTTCTGTTTCATAGGTCGATGCTGGTTAGATGCCCTGGAATTGGCCTTGCGCTGCTCCAGCCTCTTTAGGTTAAGCGCTTCTAAGCAAGCAAAGGATGGAGATCTGAATTGCTCAAATGATTCTTCACATGCTGGGCTGTACAACTTGTTCCACACAGCGACAGTCTCAGATCAGGAACTTTTCCAGTAAGAATGAGCTTCTTTCAACTGTATATATTCTGATGTTGGAAATGGGTTTTTTTTTTCCTCTTCATTAATCCGCTGTTATCTCTTGCCTAATTGGTCAGACTATAGTAGAGTGGGTTTTTTTCCTTATGAAAAAGAAAAATGAAAGGATAAATAGGATAGACTTGGGGCAGGGAAATCAGCTGCATCGGTGCTTCTCCATATTATAAATTTCCAGAATTTTCTTTTGGGAAATGTTTAACAAGTTGTGCCAAAATGTCATGCATGTATACTCAAAAGTGACGCTTCTAGCAAAGAATGCATATATTTGTAACCTTAGATGGAATCTGTTTAGTTTCTTCCACTAATAAAATTACTTCTGGCACTAAAACTTGAACGAAACATATGGTCATGCAAATATGTTTTGTTACATTTTTTGTATAATATTTTCTGTAATAATGTTAGAATGTACCATCCACTTGCTGCTTTGGAATCAGTTCTGGATTATGTAGTCATCCACCATTTCCCAGTCTGCATTGCCCATGCTAGCAAGAATTGATAATGGCCATTTGTTTAGATCAGGCAATTATTTTTCCCGCATGGCCACATGGAAAACTGAGAGTGTTGTGCAGGGCCAAACTAATAGGGCTGCTGTTGCCACTGCTGCCACCGCCACCACCGTGGCCATTGCTGTGGGCCGCCCAAAAATAGCCAAAAGGCCGGATGTGGCTCGTGGGCCATAAAATGCCCAGATCTCATTTAGATGGCTATAAAAACATTTCAGGAATAAATCAGGAGAGACTAAGGCTTTCAATCTAAAATGAAGGTTCAGACAGCTGATCTTCCAGAATATCTAACTATTCTAGATGTATCAGTTAAGGTATCATGCTGGGATAAATCCTCCAGTTAAATAACATCTCCTTAAGAAGGTAAGCTAATTAAGCTGACATGATCTCATTATTAGGTCACTTAATTACACTTAATGCTTTTTCAGATTATTTAAACTAGTCTTGAAGGGAAGAGTCACAGACATGATGATTTAAAGCAGTGGTTCCCAACCTTTTTTTCGCCCCGCACCCCTAAAGAAATTTCACTCGAACCTTGCACCCCCTGAAATTTATATTTTGCTCAGTTAATCCATTGTAAAAGAAAATAAAAATGCCAACATATAGCCAATATCCTATTATTTACCTGGACTTTTCTCGCACCCCCTGGAATATCGTCTCGCACCCCCGGTTGGGAACCCCTGATTTAAAGAATCAGTCGTAATCATTTTGCTTCTCAGTGTTTTATTGCTCCTCTGTGCTGGCTGATTACTTTCTCTCAGTTAAGACTGTTTTGAGTTGAGAATGGAGATTAATGCACCCCTTCTTTGCTGATTATTATTTCAAATGGTTTGGGTATTTCCCTAATAATGAAAGTTTTCTATTGATGAAGAGTCCTGCTGATAAAGAGATTCTTTCCACAGCGTTTTGATTTCATAGTTTGGATTATGTCTAACTACATCTATTTTATGATTGTAAATTATCTTATTTCATAATCTATCATAAGATGTTAGATCATTCCCCACTCCTATTATATTGTTACCCATATCAACAAGTATACCACATATTTGCTTTGTGGAATTAATTTGTTTTCCTTTTAGTGAAGTTGTTGGTTGCTAATGTCTATCTGACCATTAGGCTGTCACCAGCTCCATATTTCAAAGCAGGTGGAAGTTCTAAAATAAGGATGTTTGGTCAATAGATTGCCATGGAAGACAGTCTTCTGAAATAAGGGGTGTGCCTATATATTCTGTGTTGTGTTCATATTCTGAGAGATGCTTTCTTCTAATTCTGGCAAAATGTTGTATAGCTATAATAATTAAGGAGGATCTGGATAAAGATTTTATTTTTTCTCTGCCCTGTTACAATTACAGCAGTATTTCTTTATTGTGAGATGCAAAGAAGATTTCTCTAAAGAATCAGTCATCAACCTTCTTTGCAGATGAAAGAAATGTAAATATATCATGTTGAAGGAAATGGCAAGCACTTTTCCTTCCAATGATTAATAGCTTGAGTTAAGAGCCAAGAAGTACTCAGTTCCACTCTTAATATTGGTTATGAAACCTGTCAATAGTCCTAGAGACAAATAAAGTAGGATTGGATTTCAGAAGTTGTTCTGCCAGTTTAAAAAAGCAGACTCAAAATATGTCCTCTGTATCTATGTAAATTTGCTACTCAGCATAGCATGCAGATTTACCATGGATTTTTGTGTAACTCATGGGAATCAACCCCATCTAGAACAGGGCTGTCAAACTCCTGGCCCAGCGAACTGGATGTGTCACATGCTGGCCACACCCATGCCTGGTTTAGTGAAGGGGGGGGGGGGAAAGTCCTGCTACATCATGTGATGCCGCCATGACAACATGAGTTTGACACCCCTGATCTAGAAGATAACCTTACATCTTAGGAAAAGCTGAGAGGCGGTGATTTGGCATATTATCTTAAATGAGATACATACTGTATGATTAAGAAATCACGTTTACCATATGAATGTTGGAATAAACATTCGTCTTTCTCTATTATTTTCTCCATGTATCCTTATTTTGCACAGTATCATCATGGAAAATATGTTCTCTAAAAAAGTTGAAAGTGTCAGAATTTTTTAAAATCTTGATTGCATGTCCAGAAAGCAGTACATCAGTCTATGACCTTGACTATTTTTAAAAAAATAATTGATTCTAAACTGCTCATAGTCAGAAGTTTTCATGTGGATATATTCTGTGTTATTCATGAGATTTTGTTAGGTAAGGAGGAAGAGTCCATATACAAAGTTTCCCACCATTATTTCTTTTCCTGACCAGAGAAAATCCATTAAGAAAGAAAGATGCGATAATTTTTGACTGGAAAATGTTAAGAGTGCCAATCTATAAATACACAAAGCCATTATCCACTGTAATTCTTTTCTAAGATACATCAAAAGTAAAGGCTGATATAAATAGATGTAGGCCCATTGAACCTACTGTAAATATATAGCTTGGCTTAAAGTCAAAAATCACTATATTTTATCAGTGTGTGACTGTAAACCTTCATAGCAAAGCCTTTCAGACTCCAAGTAGGCTTTTATGAAAGCAATTTTACCAATTGCACATTTTCAGGAATGATTAATCTTTTTCCATTTTTCATTTGTAGCTTTGGCTTAGCAAACAGTGGAGTTAAATAATGGGGAAACCAGCACTCACAATGTTCTGTTCTTTATGCTTGGATATTGGTATTGGATGGTCAGATCAAGCTTGAATCCAGAGCAGGGCTAGTCCAGCAAGAGAGAGATGGGAGTGAGGAAAAGAAGGGTCAGATATAGATGGTTACTAAAAGAAAGGTTTATATTTAACTTTGCATTCACAAATGGTCCTTGTTCTGTTTTGTCTTATGGTGCCTTATTCATTTTCATGTGCCCCATTTACTAAATTTCGTTTATGGCTCAGATTCTTAAATGTGTGTGACTTTGACCCCTGGTCTTTTGAGTAGATCACGTATTTATGATGGTTGCAGGCTCAAGTGATTGCCATTTGTGACATTCCCAGCCAACTTCTAACAGGCATAGTCAAGGGAGAAGCCAGATTTGTTCAACAACTGTAGTGATTCAGTTTAACAACCACAGCAAAAAAGTTCATAATATTAGGTGTGGTGCACATAACATCCATCTTGCTTAGTGATTAAAGTTCGGCTCCTAGTTTTGGTTAAGGACTAATGTCCATGAGGGGTGGAAGAGGAGAACGACTTTGTGGTATCCTTAGCCAGATTTTTCTCAAGGAATTTTATCCAGGGAATATTTGCTGTAATGCTCAGATCCGCTTCTTGACTGAATAAACCTTCTATTTTCAGAGGTTCTAAATGTTTTGAAATTAAAACAGTATAACCATCTATTTGTTTCAGTCTGAATGATTCAGCTCTGGAAAACCATCACTTGGAGAACGATGCTTTTTCAGACAAATCTGAACGAGACAACCTAGAAGAGTCTGAAAATGAATTGCAGGAGAATAGTCGGAAGACAAATGAGAGTGAGAGCGATCAATCTGAAATCCATGGGGAGTTGCTCCAGGAAAAGAAAGGGACGACCTACCTAGAACAGAACTATGAAGAATTTGGAGAGGTAATTACTCATTTAATTTATCTACTCACATTGTTTGTTTTGTATTTGCCATTAATGCATTCTCTCGCAACAGAAATTATATTACAGGTAGTCCAAAGTTAGTGAACTCTCATTCAACTCTCATTCAAAGTTATGATGGTGCTGAATGAGTGGTAGTTATGATCATTTCTCAAAGTTCTGGCCATCCCAGCACCCTACAGCCAGGTGAACACAATCTGGGCACAAATGACTTGTACTTGTGATAGTTGCAGCATCCCACAGTTGTAAAGTGAAGTCCCTACTGACTTTAAACAAGCAAAATCAATGGGAATAAGGCTCCCCCACCAGTATACCCTCACTCAGCCCATCTTCACTCATACCGTGCCTCGTTGGCAATCTGCACACCCTCGCTCAACCAAGGAATAGAACACTGGCTTAAAGAACAGCAGACATCACTCCTCCTCCAAATAGCACAATTTAGATGCTGGCTTGGAGAGAGAATGGGACTTCACTTGGAGAAGAAATGGGATGTGCAACTTGGAGAACAGCACGAGGCAGTGAAGGTCTGCAGGGAACATAGACTAATTTAAAGATTAGCATCAGTTTATTTCCATAGACACTGATGAAAAACAGCAGGGAAGGTACAGGTAGTCCTTGACTTATAACCACAATTGAGGGCAACATTTCCGTTGCTAAGCAAGACAGTTGTTAATTGAGTTTTGCCCCATTTTATGACTTTCTTGCTATAGTTGCTACATGAATCACTGCAATTGTTAAGTTAGTAACACGGTTGTTAAGTGAATCTGACTTCCTTATTGACTTCTTGCCAGAGGACTGCAAAAAGTGATCTGGGCACTGCAACCATCATAAATGCATGCCAGTTGCCAAACACAGAAATTTTAATCACATGACCATGGAGATATTACAATGGTCATAAATCACTTTTTTCAGTGCTGTTGTAATTTTCAAATGGTCACTAAACGAATGGTTTTAAGTCTACTTGTACTCTTTCACCTCCTTTGAGAAAATATAATCCCAGTTTTCTTAAACGTCTAACATTTTTAGATATATCCATGCCAATCGCATATAGCCTGAATAAAGTTTTAAGAAGAATTTATTGAAGAATATTAAAATATATAAATATGTAATTATGTAGTTGACTTCCTTATCACTGATACAGATTACCCAAGGTGGTAACAATTCTGTTAATTGATGGAGTAGTGACATATTAGAGTTGGGGAAAAAATAGGCACATATATATCTTCAAGTCTTCTTTTGTTCAAAAAGGACTTGATTTAACACTCCATTTAGATGTGCATGTGTGTTGGTATGGAATACCAAGATGCATGCCTCAATAAAAATGCAAATGCAGTTGGTGTAAGTGCTGGCAGTTATCAGTTTGCATCATAGCTTATAGCAATGTTACAAGCATCTGTGTCTGAAATTTCCATTATCTTTGACGGATCAAGATGGATGGTATATAATCAAAATCAATAAGAGAAAGAAAGCTTTCATTCTTCACTGCAGACATGTTTCCTTTTTATCAAACTGAGTTCTGCTGTTTGGTGCGTGGCACAATGCTTAAATACCTGCAGTGAACTTGCTCAAGGAACAGCACTTTGCAGATCAATATTGGTGCGAGAATTGTGCAGGCTTCTTCCAGTCAGGATGGCTGCTTGAAGCCTTATGATCCCCTGGCTTGGATCCAAACTTCATCATCTTTTGCAAAAAAAAAAAAAAGAAAAGTAAAACAAGAAGAACTGCCTTCTACAACCTGATCCCTTTAAATATACTGGATTCCAAACCCCATTATATGTAGTCCAGCAGCGGTCAAGCAGTTCTTAAGAACACCTGGCTGAATTCCAACTCTATAGAAGGCACCAGATTAGGGAAGACTGAGACACATGTCTTGGAAGTTTTCCACAGCAAGGCTTTGCCTGTAACAGTCCTGTTATCAGAGCTAAGGTTGAATCACTTTGTGTGAATAAAACAAATTGCTCAGTTACAGTTTCTAGCAATTCTTCTTGTTCTAAAAACTCGCTTTTATTAAGAACGTTGGACTCCGTCCTCAATAATGTATATTTCTGTTGAGTTTTATGGCTGGTGTTTAAAAAAGCACCCTAAATGAGGGGTGCTTGGATTTGCATAACTTGTTCTAGGTTATAGATAGTTCTCAACTTAAGAGCGGTCACTTAACAAACATTCATGGTTATGATGAACTTCAAAAAAGCTACCTAGGGCCCATCCTCAAAGTTAAGACTGCTACTGCTTCCTCATCACATGATTGCATTTTGGGCATTTGGCAACCAACTGCCATTTACAACTGGTTACACCATTCCATGATCATGTCACCACAATTTGCAATGTTTTTTTGTCAGTTTGTGGCAGAAAACGGAAAAAAAGTACCCATTGGATATTCTGGATTGACTTAATTATCCTGTTGTTCGCTTAACAACTAAACATTTCACTTGACTGTGATGATTCATAAAAACAGTCATAAAATTAAGCTTGATCGTGGGCCTCAAATCGCAACAACTTATGACCAAAATTCTGGGTGCGTTGTGGTCATAAGTCAAGGACTAATGCTATACATTTTGATTCTTACATCAGCAATCTTGTCTGGACAGGTTTGCTATGAGAATCCAGAAATTGATTCTGAGTGGCTGCAAGATTGCTGATGTATGAATCAAAATGTTAGCAGAATATTCAAGATTTCACAAACAAAGGATAACATTATATTATGAGCTGATGTCATAATACAGAAGGCATCTTTCAAGGATGCTCACTCTTCCAATTTGAGGAACTCTTACTCAGCAGTGATATGAGAGCAGGAGGGGAACATAGTCGACTACGATGCCAAATTGTCCCTTTTAATTTCTTGCTTTCCCTTTAACAAAGTTTCAATCTTACCTAAAGATTTTCCTCATCAGACAGGGGAATGCTCTCAAACCGAAACTGTGTCTGACGAAAATAAGAGTTTGATGTGGATTCTTCTGAAGCAGCTACGGCCAGGCATGGATTTGTCTCGTGTGGTTCTGCCCACTTTTATCCTAGAGCCACGTTCCTTCCTCAACAAACTTTCTGATTATTACTACCATGCTGATCTACTTTCCCAGTAAGTAGCAGTTTTATAGCTGGAATGAGGTGATGTGTAAGAATACCCCTATGAGTAGAACTCCTAAAGGAAAATAAACCCTGACTGTTCTTTGGAAGGACTGGTACTGAAGCCGAAGCTCACATAGTCTGGGCACTAATTGAGAAGAGACGACTCATTGGAAAAGACTCGTGTTGGGAAAGATTGAAGGAAAAAGGACAAGGGGATAATAGCAGAGATGATGAGATGGTTAGATAGTGTCATCAATGCAATACACATGGATTTGGGCAGCCTTCTGGGTACAGTGGACGAGAGGGGAGCCCAGCATGCTGTGGTCCATGCGGGTCGCAAAGAGCATGACTTAGCAGCTGAGCAAGAAATGTATAAAACTGGGGTATTTATATAATTAAGAGGTGCTTCTGATAAACCATGCCAGCTATGTGTCCCAGTAATCTTCAGACAAAAATAGTTTATAAAAAAAATGGGAAATGCAATGAGAAAAGGAGGGAAATGAAATCTCAGTGCTGTTGATTGATAAATCAGCACATCAATTGCATGTCCATTACTAGAGTGAAATATATTCAGATTTATGACACATTGAAAAAAGCATGAAGAAATATAAATTTATATAAATATAAAGGAAAAAGGGGTTAACATTAACAAGTAAATAATAAATCAATCTTGTAAATACAGTATCAAAAGTCAGCAGTTAAAAATACAGTAAACCTATCAAAGATTTCTGTTCAAGACCAAATTGCCAAGTCATTTAATAAATAGAAAATGTATGTATAATAAATAAAATAATGAAAATAATAGATGTAATATCGCAAGTACCCACAGCCAACTTCCTTCTCAACCAACATAGCAACATTTTCATATAAGTGGTATTGTGGAATCTCTTGACAAGTTCCAAAGAATAATTTCTTAAAAAATAAACTGATAATAGTTCATGAAATCATTCTATCTCCTGAGATTTCCATGAGCTTATTTTTGAAATCTTTCAACATCTCATATCAAATCTTACAAATGTCAGAGACAACGTTTATAAATGTTCTTTTTTGTAGAACTCAAAAAGAATTCTGCAAAAAAGAAAAATGATAAGTTCCAGAATACTGTGGTAGGTGGGCCTGTGGTTTCAATCCATGGTCTTTCTTATCTAATGATGGAACTAATCAGATCTCAAGATATTCAGGGGTATCCAGACATATAAGCATTTACTGTATAAAAAATCCCCTGTGAATTATGTAGTTGTGCTTAACTTGTCACTGAATATTTGAAAGAGGCAGTTGAAATTTGCAATATTTTGCTCTTTTCATTTTTTGTTTTATTTCATTCTGCTTTGCATCCAATCTTACTTCATGATAATTTTAATTTCTCTATTAAATTTATATACCTTCCATCTCATACTCAAATCAACTCTATAAATTTAATTAAAAAATTTTAAAAATTGAAATAATACCTTATATTATTTCAATAAAGCCTGCAACTCATATCACACATATGAAGAAATAACTGAAATGGTCATTTTAATTCTTCCTGCAGAGCTGCTCTTGAAGAAGATCCATACTGTCGAATCAAGCAAGTCTTGAGGTGGTATCTATCAGGCTTTTATAAAAAGCCAAAGGTATGACAGTATATTGCAGTATTCCTTTCTTTATGTCGGATCAAAAGAATTTGAACTGTATTAAAGATTTGCAAATGTTCAAGAATGTTAATTAAGGATCAGCTGTGGAATTTTCCAGATACCATCGCAACCATTTTAAAGGAAGTCCTTAAACACCACTTCATTGCTTTAAGAATTCCCCTGAATAAGTTTTATTTCCCTATCCAAATTACATTTGGAATGCAAATGGGTTTAAACATTTTAAGAGTTTTATTCTTGTAGAGTTATTCTTTTAAAAATGTCTACTTATACATGAGTTATCTTGGGAAGGTCTATAAAAATGACATTGTAATGTTTAAATCACACTAAGTAAAACTAGAAGGGCATACTAAACATGTGAAGTGGCCTTGAACGTGCATGGTGTTCTGAGGTTGCATCTGATCTTCATAGACCTTAATCCATTCTGACCATAAGCAACAAGTCTTGTATCAGAGTAAGTGACCTTAGATGGTAAGGTGAAAGGATAGCTCAGAGTTGGAGCACATGCCTTTTATATAGAAGATAAATAATTATGTGTGGTTTATTCTTAAGTGAATTTAGAAAATATGTGTCAGAAAGCCTTGAGAGAGTTGGTATCAGTTTTCTCTTGGAGACACTCAGTAGAAAACAACTTCTTATCTTTCTAGAAGGAAGATCTGCATGGCTATCTGAATTAAAAAGATATTTCCAAGGGGATTAGAATGTAGAATTTGTGTAGAACTGCAGTTAAATTGCCCATTGATAGCCAAGACCAGCGACACTCAATTCTTATCTCCACTTAGTATTTGATCCCAACTTACCTTATGAGCTTTTATTATGAAGATGTATGAATGATTTTCATTCCTATAAGTCATACATTCAGAAAACCTATTTCAGTACATTGACTGGGAAAATAAACTGTGGGTCTGTAATGTTATTAAATTCCTGTCTTCCAGGGAATAAAAAAGCCATACAATCCCATTTTGGGAGAGATTTTTCGTTGCTGTTGGTTTCATCCACAGACGAACAGTCACACATTTTACATAGCAGAACAGGTAAATCTGATGCTTCCTTCTATACGCTTCCTTCCAGCACTAGGCATATTTAGCTGTATAGCAAAACTCTGTACATGCTTTTTTTTTTTTACTTTGTTGCCTTCCATTGCAGGTTTCTCATCATCCTCCAGTATCGGCCTTTCACGTCAGTAACAGGAAGGATGGGTTTTGTATTACTGGCAGCATTCTAGCCAAATCAAAATTTTATGGTAAGGCATCTGATCAGACAGACAGAGGTCTAGTTCATGCATGTTGGTAAACCACCATGTGGTTTGCTTGTTTTTGACTAGTGCAGGGGTCCCCAAACTTGGCAACTTTAGGACTTGTGGACTTCAACTCCCAGAATTCTGAAGTTTGTAAGTCTTAAAGTTGCCAAGTTTGGAGACCTCTGACTTAGTGTGATGTATAACCCACCTCTTAGGGCAACTAGGCCATTACAAATTGTTCACAAATCATAATGGAAAATAAATCCTAGCATTAAATGTGAACGCAGCTGGAGAAGAATTGTGATAGGCATAACACTTGATTTGCCTTTTTTTCTAAAGCCAAAATCAATGTTGATGCCAGTGTATGTAGGAATAAAGCATATTGCTAAATTTTAACATGTAGAGATTCTTTTGTATGCATAGACATACTGCAATTTGTTCTTAAAGGGAAAAAAATATTGAGAATAACTTTTCACACATCCCTTAAAAGAAAATTATAAAAAATGGATATATGGTATCTGCTTAAAAACATGTCCATCAAGGATGCTTTAATTTTAAGAGCGACAGTCATGCCATTTGTATTCATCTGTTGCTACAGGTAATTCACTTTCGGCATTATTGGACGGCCAAGCTAAACTCACATTTCTAAGTTCTGGGGAAGAGTATGTCATTACAATGCCATATGCACACTGTAAAGGTGGGTCATTGCTGGGATTCTGGAGTATGTGGCGGGGTTTGAGATTGTATGTGCTATGTCCTTTCCTATGTTGGATTCCATTTTCTTTCTTAAAAAGATCCTCATTAAGATTTTCTAGCTATAGTACATAGGAAATTAGGATAAGGTAGGAGTCTTGGTTGTTGTTTTTTTTAATACCTGTAAAATACAAAGCCTTGGTGCCTACCAGCTATGCTTAATTGCAAAAATGGTAAAAAGAAATCTGAATTCTTTGGAATAATGTGATCCGCTCATCAAGGCTGTGCAATAGAAGATAGCTTCCGTGCCTTAATATTTCTCTAGGATGGAAATGACATCTGTTGAAATGTCTTCTGCAAAATTATTTTAAAAACACAATTTGGGGATTTACATAAACACGTCCAAATGCTCTGCAATTGAGTGTGTACAAATTGGGAAATTTAACATCAAGTTGTAAATATGCTATTTCCAAAGAACTGATTACAATATACAAATTAAGATACCGAAAGTCTGTGCCATCAAAAAATACATATTGAGTCATAGAGGCAGCAAGGATTGAATTTGCATTGAACATTTCTTGTTTTGTGATATCAAGAAAACTCCAGACAGAAAACCCCAGACAGAAAGGAGTGCAGCAGTGATGGGTTCAGGGATCTGAAATTATCCTGCGTTCTACAGATTGATGGAGATAAACTTTCTGCCTGTTCCTGCTGTATAATTGGTAGTAGTTCTTGTTTATGCTTTGCTTGAACGTGCTGAACAACAGGACAAAGTTTCATTTTATTGCAACCCAATATATTTAATTAAATCTGAATTTTTACATTTTTCTTTGGTGTCAATCATAATGAATGAACAGGGCTGTCCTTCATAGGTTGATGTATGTAGTCTCTGCATAATTGATACTCTGTTAATAGTTGTATTTTTTATTTTTGCTGTTTCTAGGAATTTTGTATGGTACCATGACAATGGAGCTTGGAGGAAAAGTTACTATTGATTGTGAAAAAAGCAATTATCGGGCAGAACTGGAATTCAAATTAAAGGTATTGGACACTCTGTTTCATTTTCAGCTTGTTTCCAACATTCCAGTTCTAATTTTATGTCCCTACCTGAATTTCACAGAGCTAGTTTTAAAAATCATCCCAATGCTTTCTCAATAATAATGTTGATGTGTTTTTTATTTAGGGTCTTATTGTTTTATTGTACTTTTATGGATGTTTTAATTGTTATGCCTTTGTATAGCCAACTAATAATTACTATGATCCCCAAGAGTCTCTTTGACTACCAGTAATGGATCTTAAATTCATTATAGAGTATGAATGTGCACTCGCAAAAGAGTTTTCCATAATGGCGTGCATTTGGTATTTTCCAGACAGTATGCAGATAAAATTTGACTGGTCTTTGAAGTACGTACTAAAATAACCAAATTTAGTACTTCCATGTCACTAGCTGAAATGTTCGTCTATTTGATTTATGTCTTGATATCTATCAGGAACAATGTAGACTTAATTTTCACTGGAATTCTTGAGAAATTATATTTTAGTTATCTAAACACATTTATGTTCCTGGGCAGCTTCCCACTCTTTCTGTAATGAAATAATTTTTTCTTCCCTTTGCATTCCTTAGCCATTTTTTGGTGGCAGCACAAGCATTAATCAAATTTCAGGGAAGATTAAATCAGGAGAAGAAGTGCTGGCAAGTCTTGATGGACACTGGGTAAGAAATCGTAATTTTCTTTAACAACAGTTTTAAAAATCATGTATGAACTGAAGAGCTGCCATTGGAATGCTGTGTTCCATGATGCCTCCAAGAAAAGAACTCAGCTTAAAAGAAAAACAAGTGGAATCAAACAGCAGCTGTATTTGCTGAGGTGTAGATCTGCCTGTGCTCGTTGTCTCTGCTAGCCCAAATTCTGAAATCTTAACTTCGGTTTCAATGTAATAAATGGATATCAACCAAAATCCAGTATGGGAATCAGTTGCAGTAATTCTCAAACTTCCTGGAAGGTCAGCACAGATCTTGAACACCTCAGCTTCCCAAGGATAATATAACTTAACATGTGATGAATCCTAAATTGGATGGCTGTACCTGGAGTTAACAGACTGTAGATTCTCTTTGAAACGGTAATGCCCTTAACCATTCACTTTCCTTTCATTCTAACAGGCATAAGAACTGTAGCTGGAACTAATAATATTTATATGGCTGCCCACTCACCTTAAGATAGGAAACAAAATAAAATATCAGAGCAATGACAAACTTTAAAAAAAACCAGAACATTTCAAAAAGCAAAGAAAAAAAAATCAATCACTTGTTCAAACAACATTCATACAACTCACGAATTCAACACTTCATGACCTGTCACCTGAGAGAAAAATTGAGTTTTTGGTCTTTGAGGAAGGCCAGCAGTGTTTAGGCTAATCTATTTTTGAGAGAATGAATGTTCTAAAGGGCAGAGAAGACATGCTTACCAGGTCTTGCCAGGTTATACATTTAACTGATGAAGCCTACAGCAGGCTTCTTCTCCCTGTCTGATGCAGTGCACAGAGAAAATCAGAAAACGGCATTCTCTCAAACATTGAGGGGCCATACCATTTATTTATTTATTTATTTGATTTGTCAATCGCTTACAAGATAATAGGTATAAGTATAAACATGAGTAAGAATACAGGAAATAGGTACGAATAAATGGGGACAATAGGACAGGGATGGTAGGCACATGATGGTGCCCTTACAGACCTCTTAGGAATGGGATGAGGTCAATAGTGGATAGTTTGAGGTTAAAGGAGTGGGGGTTAGAGTCAGGTAGTGCATTCCAGGCATTGACCACTCTGTTGCTGAAGTTGTACTTTCTGCAATCATGTTTGAAGCGGGTTTTACATTGAGTTTGTATCTGTTGTGTGCTCTTGTATTGTTGTGGTTGAAGCTGAAGTAATCACTGACTGGTAGGACATTGTTGCAGATAATTTTGTGTGCTACGCTTAAGTCTAATCATGGGCAGCGTAGTTCAACGTTTTCCAAGTCCAAAATCTCGAGCCTGGTGATATAGGTTATTCTGTTGCAAGCAGAGGAGTGTAGTACTCTTCTCGTGAAATACTTCTGGACTCACTCAATTGTATTAATGTCCGATACGAAAGCCTTATTGATATTAGAGGTAGTCCTCAACTTACAACCACAATTGAGCCCAACATTTATGTTGCTAAGTGGGAAATTTGTTAGGTGAGCTTTGCCCCATTTTATGACATTTCTTGATGTATTTGTTAAGTGAATCACTGCAGGTGTTAAATTAGTAACTAGGTTATTAAGTGAATCTGGCTTCCTCATTGACTTTGCTTGTCAGAAAGTTGCAAAAGGGGATTGCATGATCTTGGGATACTGCAGCTGTCATAAATATGAACCGGTGTCAAGGATCTGAATGTAAATCACATGACCAAGGAGATGCTGCAATGGTCATAAGTGTGAAAAATGGTCATAAGTCCCTTTGTTCAGTGCCGTTGTAACTTTGGTCACTAAGCATACCTTGTAAATCGAGGACTACTTGTAAACTATACCTTGAATACTGAGATTGGGAGCCAGTGCCGCTTATGAAGCAAAGGTGTAATTGCAGCATCCCAAGGTATGCCTATAATACAGTCAAGCGGCCGGGTTCTGGACCAATTGCAGCTTTTGGATGGGTTACTGGGCCTCCCTGGATTGCTGTTGCTAAGCGATGCAGAAATGTAACATCACACTTCATAATTTACAATGCTGAGCAAAGCATTCCCAGCCCCAACTGGAGTTATAACTTGAGAACTACCACATTGGGGTTTTTTTGTGACAAATAACCCAGATATGTAACACCAAGTATCTGGGATTTATCAAAATAATATAAGATAGGTTCTTCTCCCAAATATGTAATCATTTGTAATTCATCACTGGAGGAAATAATGATGTAAGAAAAAATAAGGGGGAAAAATTATCTGTCAGCAGAGAAGAATTGAATTATTTTCCTTAGTTCTTAATCCTGTTTCAATATATCTCCTGCTTGTTTGAAACTGGCACTAATTTTTCTTTTGTCTTTTTCAGGATGGGGAAGTATATATAAATGATCTGAAAAATGGCAGTACAGATATTTTTTGGAACCCGACCATTGAAGTCCGAAAGCAAAGGCTGAAACGTCACATTGTCTTGTTTGAAGAGCAGACGGAATTTGAATCTGAGAGGTAAGGTGCAGGCAGTCTGATGTCAGAGGGTGACAGGAAAGAATATGACTATCCTTGATTGCATTTTGGACAATGTAGCTTTATAAAGGTTGATTCGTGTCTAATTATATTAGATTATGAATGGGTATTTTGAACATGATTCAGAAAAAAAACTTGTGGTGGTTTTTCCATCCTGGGGCAGTGGAAATGTTTTTAAATTTGGCCACATATAGATACAGATTTCGTCCTTTTTATGTAGTACTGTAATCCCTCCATTAGGTTTATTACAAATGGAATTACTCCTTCATTTATCAATAGGTTATGTTTATTGTTTATTTTATTGTATAAGGTTCCCTAAGTTTATAGTCACTCTGGACAGCACACAATGAAATCAATCCTAAAATACTACTTAAAAATCGAAACACCTGGAGGAAAAACATATTCAAAACAAATAAAACATACAGAGCCAACCTATCACTCTTAACCCAAGGCCTAGGCGAAGAACCAAGATTTCAGAGCTCTTTCAAGTGGGGTCAAGGTGAAGGCTAATGTCTCTAGGGGAAGAGTATGTACCAAGGGGCAGATGCTGTGATAAAGAAGGTACACTTCCCGAGTCCCATCAAAGTTCAGTGGAAGGGATCTGGCACATGTCAACTCTGCTTTGATTATACAGGTTGGTCTGAGACTATAGAAGACAGGTGGTCCTTTAGATAACAATTTTCAATACCATAGAAATACTTACATAATTTATGGATGTTAACCAACAAGTACTGGAATACTGCATCCAGTTTGGATCGCCATCATCACGATGTAAAAAAGATTTTGAGACTCTAGAACGAGTACAGAGAAGAGCAACAAAGATGATTAGGGGATTGGAGGCTAAAACATGAAGAACGGTTGTTGGAACTGGATATGACTATATGAAAAGAAGGACTGGGTGACATGATAGCAGTGTTCCGATATCTCAGGGGCTGCCACAAAGAAGAGGGAGTCAAGCTATTCTCCAAAGCATCTAAGGTCAGGACAAGAAGCAATGGATGGAAAAAATCAAGTAGAGAAGCCACTTAGAACCAAGGAGAAATTTCCTGACAGTTAGAACAATTAATCAGTGGAACAACTTGTGTCCAGAAGTTCTGAATGCCCCAACACTGGAAGCTTTTAAGAAGAGATTGGACAACCATTTGTCTAACATGGTATAGGATTTCCTGCCTGAGCAAGGGATTAGAAGAACTCCAAGGTCCCTCCCAACTCTGTATTCTGTTAGCAGTTGAATTGCACCTAGAAACCAACTGGTAACAAGGCAACGTATAATTGCCCATTCCACCACTTTTTGAGTAAGCTGCAGCTTTGAAGTGCTTTTCAAGGACAGACACACATGTGATGCATTGCACAAGATGACCAAAGCATGAGTGAACATTTGAGGGGCCAAAAATGGCTGCTGCTGCAGGATCTTTATAATATGTAGCTGGTCTGGAGCTACAGGTACCAGTTGTAAATACCATGCATTTAGTCCTGTTGTATCTTTGAATGGTTTGCAGTATGATTAGATATGTTAACTGAGTATACGTCCTCTGGCATTTTAGAAGGTTCAATCACATTACTTAACCAAGTTTCCGGATCTCTTTGGTTTCCACTGAAGTGTATGGCTATGCTGGCCTTCTGACTAAGTGAATGCTGGATTGTTTTTAGACTCTGGCAGCATGTAACCAGTGCAATCGGCAAAGGAGACCAGCACAAGGCCACTCAAGAAAAGTTTGTGTTGGAAGAGGAACAGAGACATGCTGCAGGAGAACGGAAGGAGAATGGGACAGAGTGGAAGCCCTTACTCTTCTGGCACAATGCTACCACAAATGAATGGCACTACAAATATGAAGAGTGAGTATCTTACAATTTTCAACTCGTGTTCCATGTTCAAAAATTCAGTGGGCTTTTGTGGGAGTCTTGAGTCAACAACATCAAAAAAGTTAAAGTTCAAAGCCAGTTTTCAATCGCAACATTTTTTTTTGGTTAAACCAACAAATTTCACAATCTGAAAAATATTGAAAATGAACTATTCATAATGTTTTTTTTTTTTTAGATACCGCATTTATCATCTCTTGCAATATACCTTATCATTGATCATGTCTTTTATCTCTGCTGTAGGTGCCTAATTTATATAACGTTGATATGATTGCCACAAATTTGAATTAATATTATGCTGTTGCTTATTGAGTTACAGTTAATCATGTATTTATTGATGCCTTTTTTGAGTAACATAGTTATTCATTTCTCTATATGGCCTTACGCCCTAAAAGATCACTCATCTAGTTTAACGTGATTATTTTTCTGATCTACCTGAGTTCAATAATGAGCATGTATATTACTAATTGTAATCTGGTGGATGTTTATAAGCTTTCTTCTTGTTAAAGTTTAAGGCCTTGGGATCCTTTGAATGACATTGCCCAGTATGAGAAGGATGGCGTACTTCAAACCATGCAGAGGCACTTACCCAACAGAATGTCAACTCACAAGAACATGTGCATCAGTAACCAAGTTGCACGACACAAGGTAATTAGCTCTGCTGGCAGTGTGCATTTTCCACAATGTTTGGAAAATTAGAATACTTTTCTCCAGTCTGCTTCAGGAATGGTGGAAAGCCAAATCAGATTGTGATTGCACAACCAATTCACCATGAGTCCATTCTGAAGCAAAAATGGAATAATATGGAATACTATGGAGTCAGTCCAAATGTACACTGATTCTATAGTGTACCTAAAGTCTCTACGGTGGCCTTGTATCTTATGAGCTGGTCGGTATTTCTTTACATTCAGAGTCGACACCGCAAAGCCAGTGATCAACCCTCCAACAACAGCCAGAATACTGAAAGTAGCTGTTCAACGCCCGAGTCTGTGCAGGAACTCTCAGATGATGAAGGCAAGTACTGTATTTTTCAGTTTGTAATATTGCTGATTTATCTTCACCACCCTAAATAAGATCTGTTGGTGTGTCACAATAGATCAGTGGTTCCCAAACTTTTTCAGTCCACCACCCCCTTGGTGCTACAAACTCATCCTTGGTGCCCCCCACCCAGGGGTGGGATTCAATTTTCTGTGGGCGTGGCCTAATTTGAGGATGTAGCTTGCTGATCATGTGACTGGGTGGCAGTGGCTTGCTGGTCACGTTACTGGCTGGCGTGGCTTGCTGGTCATGTGACTGGCTGGTGTGGCTTGCTGGCTGGGAATGGCTTGCTGGTCACATGACAGGATAGGTGTGGTTTGATGGTCATGTGACTAGGTGGGCATGGCCAGGTGACTGGCAAACAAGCAGTCCTCACTTAATGGCCGGTTGTTTAGCAAGTGTTCTAATTTTTGACTGGCCTCTCCAGAACTACTTTACCTGTTTTTGGAGTTTTGACAGCCATGCACACAAATACACACAAACTCCCTTCTAACCTTGCTGGAGCAGGTCATTGGACTAGAATTGGCAAAGCATCTCTGATTAGATCCTAGTAGTGAATAAAATCTAACCAGAGATGCTTTGCCGATTCTTGTTGATTTGTTTTATTTGTACCTCTTTGTTTTATGTTGCTGAATTGCATTGACATGTGTGTCCCTTCTTGTGCACAATCCAGAAGCTTTTGTGATTCTTTGCAGCAAAAATTACCGACCTCTGGCTTTGATCTACTTTTCAAATGTGGTGCCACTGCCGCGTTCTAGGTGCCGGCCCCGCAGGTCCACCCCATTGAGCCCGCTGCACCGGAGGGACCTGCCCAAGCAAGTCAAGTCAATGGGGTGAGCCTGAGAGAGGGAAAGAGAGAGAGAAAAGAGAGAGAGAGAAAGAAGGAAGAAAAGAAAGAGAAAAGGAAAAGAAAGAAAAAGGGACAAAGAAAGAGGGGGGATGGAAGGAAGGGACAGAAAGAAAAAGAAATAAAGAAGGAGAGAGGGAGGGAGGAGAAAGATCGTGAGATATCTATTCTAGTCCAATCATCTGCTCCAGCAGGGTTAGAAGGGAGTGTGTGTGTATGTGTTCTCCTTGCAATTTACCAGTACATTTTGGTTTTGCCTTCTTCAGAATTGGCACTGTAATAGACTGGGGAAAAGTAATTTTACGGTGGAGATCTGGTCCAATGGATCCTGTTTAAAGCCTCAACAAAATGTGAGAGCTTCCTTATAGTCTTGACCATGTTTCATCCACAAAACCTTTAATAGAAGCCAAAAATGTTTCAATGTGCTGGCAAAGATGTTCAATGTGGAAAAGAGCCTCAGTCTAAACTAGGCCTCATTTCAATCTGATGCATCAGGTCTCTCTCCCTCTCCCTCCCTCCCTCTCAGACTGGCTTTGCTCTACTTTCCCGATGTGCCTGCGGGGCTGGCGCTTCGAACATGGGTGGATGGATGGATAGAGAGAGAGACAGAGAGAGACAGGGAGGCAGGCAGGCAGACCTTTTGGATGAATGTATGGATAGGTAGGTAGGTAAGTAGGTAGATAAATAGATAGATCTATATAGGTAGGTAGGTAGGCAGGAAGACAGGCAGACCTTTGTATGTATGTATATATGGATAGACAGACAGAAACGAAAGAAAGAAAAAGAAAGAAAGAAAGAAAGAAAGAAAGAAAGAAAGAAAGAAAGAAAGAAAGAAAGAAAGAAAGAAAGAGAAAGAAAGAATGCGACGGCGGGAAAGTAGAGCCAAGCCAGAATGGGAATTGAAGTCCACACAAATTGCCAAGGTTGAGAAACATGGGCTGAATATATCAACCCAGCCATTTGGTTAGAGTTTAGCATGCTGTTTGATTCCGGCTTAGTCAATAAACCATGGCTAAGATCTTCCTGCTCCTTAATGCAGCTGCCCCTCTGCCCCTTCTCCAGCCCCCTGCCCCAGGTCTTTCTTTGGCATCCAATTTTGCAATGCAAACTTCCCTGGGGCAGCAATGCGGCCGACTTCACCCTCTTTACTGCGACCCAAGATCTACTTCCATCAGGCTCTGCACACACTCAAAGACTCCCAACTTCAGGGAAGTACTCCGCCCATCTTTACGCTCCGCCCAGGAGGAGGAAGGCATGTGGAAGCAGTCCAGACTGGCGGAGGGAGCGATCGCTTGGAAAGCAAGCAAGCAAGCGCAGGGCTTGGTCAGAAGAACTGGGCTGCAGGGGGAGGCTAGGTTCTAGGTCCAGCCCAGCCACGTAGAGCTGAACCAAACCGAGCCACGCGCCTTGGAGAGCTGCAGCTGCACCCACCTGCATCCTGCATGCAAGCTTGGCTGGCTAGAGAGGTGGAGGCCGGGTGGGCGCTGCGCGCTCCCTTGTTCTTCTCTGGGAAAGGGAGCCCTAATGCCAGACCACTCACCCCTTCCACTGCGTGCCTTGGGAGGGTTTTGTTTTTGGGCTTTCTGGTGTGCCTCCACCACATCCATCAGAGAGGGTAGCCTGCAAGCTAAGGCGCCCCCTTTCCACCACCTCCCACCTCCCCCCCCAAGGCTTGGCAAGGCTCGCTGCGCGAGTTCCGCATTTGAGGTGCCTTGAATGCCCCCCTGCTGCCTCTTAGCGCCCCCCCTAAGGCATCCTCCCCCAGGGGGGGTATCGCCCACTTTGGGAACCATTGCAGTAGATCATCAGCCTTCCTCAGCCTAGTGACTTCAAGATACTATTTTGGGGCAATGAAAATTATACGTATCTGAAACAGCTAGTTTAAGGAAAAATCAGCTATTTTATCTAGGGCATAGTGTTCACTAAATAATATGAAATAGCCCAATTTTTTCAAAAGTTGGCTATAGTTTGGCTGGATTAAAAAAAAACATTATCCTTGATTTCAAGTGTCAGAGGCCAAAATAGATTTTTGAAAAGTCTTTTAAATGCTTTACATTACCTTCCCAACCTACTCCCTTCCAGATACATTTGACATCAATTCCCATAGTTTTCAGCCAATCTGGTCTTTTATTTGTTGAAGTCTCAGTATATCTGGAAGGCACTGGCTTGAGGACAGCACTTCTACTATACTATGTTGATTTGTGGTCTCTAGAATAAATACCATGAATTAGACAAATTAATATTTTAATGAGATAGCAATGTTTATAGTATGACCTCTTAGTACATTTAGAATCTTTAGAAGATTTTAAAACCTGGTACTTTCTCCCTACTAAGGTTCAAAACATGCACCTCATTTTGTATTTGTTTTTGTGAAGTAATTTGCATGCTACACTTGGCCCAGGTTTTTGAAGATACAGGAGCAACTACAAGACTCTTAAGACAACTCACCCTGGGACAGTCACTACATGGGATAATTCAATGTGATAAATGTTAACCACCGGTTCTTCTACATAATTTCCATTTTGGTCAGTGGAAACAATGTCAAAAAACCAGTGGTGGATAGCATGATTTTGCGTTGTCCCACTGCGAGATGGTCACAGAGTGGGCCATAGCGAGTTGGCCCATAGCGAGTTGGCCCATTCTGATCTGCAAAAGGTGTATCTGGATCTTTTCTTTGAATAGATCTATAATCAGTGTATCAGTGGGGGGATTGGTTAAAAATCATGACATGTATACATAACATGACTTACATGCATCAGATGTCATGACCCAACTGCATAATTGCATCATTTGAGCAATGGTATCATGATACAAAGTACCATTTTGACACATAATGGCTTGTTAGGGACACTACTATCTGCAAGACCTAGAATAATATAAGCATCCAGTGAATTTAAAATTAATTTTGTTGTCCTTTCCAGTTTTTATATTGCCTTTCATTATTATGTATAAGCAAATCCTCTACAGAGAAGGAATTTTTTTTAAAAAAACAAACAGGGAAAATGTAGCATCAGTTTCCTTTCTTTTTCCAAATTGCATTGTGAAATCCTATCACTTAATTCATCATTTCACACAGGCCTTGGAAGCCCATGTACTCAATGTGGGAAGGAAACCAGCCACTTGAAGGAAATTCACACTGCTGTCTTATCACTCCAGAGAGCCCAGCAGGACATACATAAGTATGATATTTCATTATGGGTTTTTAAAAAACAATTAAAGTGAAAAAAAAACCTCTGAGGCAGAGAGCCTGTAGATATCAAAAGAAATGTTCATAGCGGGTGCTCCATTATGTGCCCGAGGACTGAAAATAGTTGGCATAAAATCCTAAACTGGCAAGGGTTCCTACAACCTGTGAACCATAAACAAAGCATAGGTTGACTGAGCATATTTCATGAACCCAGTCCAATGGAAGCAGCATGCTTTTAGAAGTACTTTGGGCAGCAGGCAGCCTACTTTGCTGCAAAAGACTAGAGTTGGTGAATAGAGCAACCACTGAAAGTGTGACATTATTTTAGGTCCTTTTTAAGTCCTAAAAAGTATGTGTGCCTAGGCTTTAATTCTGCAGGGATACTTTGCTTTTTGTGTAGGATCTGTATCTGTCAGTGACCATTTGAATAGTAATGGCTTGATTTTTTTTCTTCTTCCAGAAACCTCACTGCGCTGAGCAAGGAATCTCTCTACAGGAGGGGCTCACCCCAAAATATTGTGGACTCTCGCTGTTGGTTTCTTCTCTGCATCTTTCTAACCTGTCAGCTCTTCATTAATTATGTCTTCAAATAAAACACTGCATTGGGCAGCAATAAAAGTGAGGAGCTGTAGAAAAGGGGAGACTTAATTGCAAGGGGCCCTTTGAGGCACCAAGCACTTTAATACACAGTCAGGAGTGGAAGGAAGAGAGAGGAGAGCGAGAGAGAGAGCCAGGTTAGGCAGGGAACCTGCATAGTTTTGTTCTTACGATCAGTGTCATTGCCTTTTTCCATGTACATTCACAAGGACCTCTTTACCTATATGGGCCTTAATGCTAAAGCCAAATGTAGCTTTAATTGTGCAATTTTGTTTTCTATGTCTTGTCATTTTTCTGACGCAGTTAAGCATTACCAGCCAGTATTGGTACATCCTCTGAAGCATTGTTTGCATCTACTTCTTTTGTAAAATGGTTCCCACTGACTTGTTTTATATCTCTTCTCTTGTTGAGGGAGGACATTTTAGCATCCTTTAAAATGTCTTCCAGAATCAGTTAATTTGCATACATTAAGCAACCATATGAAAATTCAGCCAATGGGTATAAACAGCACAGTTTCTTGGGTCTTCTGGTGTGTGCTGTCACATCTAAAATCCCTAAGAAAAGCACACCACATTCCACAAATATGTGCAATTTCTTATAGCCTGCCACTTTTAGGAAATTGGAGGCCTTCAAGGTGCAATTAGCTGATGCCCTAAATTATGTCAGTGAGCCAAATAGGCCTGCTTGTGTATCAGTTTTTATTTTTAATTGGGCTGCAAAAAATCCAGATGTTTTTCTGGAAAGCAGCCAAGATATAGAAAACATTTACTCATCTTGGATTTTGCAGCCTACATAAGATAGCTGTTACACAAACTCACGCGCACACACACACACACGAGACATAATAAGTGTTATAGAAAAGAATGCCTCTGAACTGTAGCATTATTTTGAGATGAGCATGTAAGTACTGTGTCTATACGTAATTTTGTATGTCACAAAATCCCAAAGGTACTGGGATTCACCAGGAATTTCCTTTTGCCACCCAGGGACCTTTTATCTATTGAAGCACACAACAGATACCCAAGCAGTTGCAAATCACTGCTTCTACATATTTCTAAAGTGATTTCTTGCAATCTATTTGTTTGGCTTCCCTGTATTTTCTATTAAAGATGATTGCTAGTACAGTATTACATAATATCCCACTATCTGTATAGGGCTGACTGACTGATTGAAGGCATCTTCAAATCTTGTGTGCACTTAGGTACATTTATAGTAAGGGTTTGCCACTGCATCCTCCGAATATGTTGATGATAGTCTTCCTATTTTTACACCATTTTTAAAAGATTTGCAATATTTTATGTAGAAATGCAGCCAGTACTAAGCTTTTCTTTTCTGGCCTGAAGTAATTCCAAGTGGTAAGTACTGCTATATATATAGCAGTGTGTATATATATATAATCTGTATGTATGTATACAGCCTTAAAATATTTAGTGGTGTTGCCAGTCTGGGCTAACTTTCAATGTAAATGTTTCCAGATTTTTAACTATGTTCTTTGTGATGTTCCCATGTTAGGGGACAATTTGTGCTTGACACATTGAAATAAATTACATAATTTTCATTATAGCTTTGTATGGCTGAATCATTGTACACGGAGCATGTCTTTATGTTTTTCTACTCAACACTTTGAGACACTTTAAAATCAAATGGAAAATCCTGGGCACATCACATGGAGCTGTCTGCTAGAATTTAGCAATGAATGCAACTTCTCATTCTGGGTAGTTTTATTTTCCAGCAGCCGTGTTACCGTACCATAGGGACAAAAACCCTACCATTAGTTTTAAAGTTTGTGTGACTTCTGGCTGCTTTTATTCCAAATAATAGAATTAGGGGTCACACACTACTGTGGCCAAATTATCCACCCCAGACAGATACTTTGCATTCCGTTCTATCAGAATGACATCAAGTTTGGCAGCACTGCATGATGCAACCGCACCCTGAAGGCTGCAGTGCACAAAATGAAAGTATTCTTAAAAATATCCAGTGATGGAGAACTCATGATTTCTGCAGGCAAGCTGTTCCACTGGTTAATTGTCCTCACTGTTCGGACGTTTCTCCTTAATTCCGGGTTGCTTCTCTCTGATTAATTTCCAACTATTGTTTTTTGTCCTGTCCTCTAGTGCTTTGGAGAATGATTTGACTCCCTCTTCTTTTGTGGCAGCTCCTTAAATACTGGAATACTGCTGTCATATCCCCCTTGTCCTCCTTTTCTATAGACTAGTCAAACCCCAATCCAGCAGTAGTTCTTCGTATGTTTTAATCTCCAGGCCTTTGGTCATCTTAGTTGTTCTTTATGGACTTTTTCCAAAGTCTCAACATCTTTTTTGTCGTAAGGTTACCAAATTGGTTGCAGTATTCCAGGTGTGATCTTATTAGGTTTTTATAAAATGGTACTAAGTACTTCATGTGATTTTGATTCTATGCCTCTTGTTTATACAACCCAGGATTGCATTAGCTTTTGGGGCAACTGCTGCACACTGCTGGCTAATGTTTAAGCGATCATTCATTAGGGCTCCCAAGATCGCTCTCACAGTTACTATTTTTGAGCAAGGTCTCGCCTAATTGGTACTTACACCTTTGATTTTTCCTGCCTAAATGTAAAACTTTTGCTTTTCTCCACATTGAAATTCATTCTGTTCGATAGGGCCCGTTGTTCAAAGTTTGTCAAGAACTTTTTGGATCCTGAGCTTCTCTTCTGGGGTGTTGACTGTTCCTGCCAGTTTAGCGTCATCTTCAAATTTGATGAGTTCCCCTTCTATTATTCCCTCATCTAAGACATTTATGAAGATAAAGACACCAAGTGCCCAAATTTTCGTCACATAAGTACAAGTTGGATGGGATTGTGTGAGGACTAAATCACTTTTTCCAGCATCATTGTAACTTTGAATGACACTAAATCAGTGGTTGTAAATTGAGGATTATCTGTGAAACCAAATAAGCCCCCTCAGAAATTGGTGCAGGGTTTGAAAGGGTCAATTTCTCTATTGTAAGAGAGCTTCAAATAGCACGTGATGATCTAGCTTAAAATTTAACTTTATTGAAGGAATTTTATAACAATAATTAGTTATTGGTCTAGACTCTTGTTCAGACCTTATGTTCACTTTTAAAAAATAAATGCTGGTGTTAAGTGTCAGATCCAAATTTGCTTCCATCTTCCAATATTGTATCAGCAGTTACACAAAGAATGCTTTCGCATCTCTTCTTTTCCTTCCCAAAATCTATTTGGAATTCTTTTCCAAAACGAACAACAAATGTTCTTTGTGGGATGAATTGCCAAGATAGTGAGACACAAATAACTTTTGTGTTGTATCTTGTATGTCTATTATGTTTGTTCTACTTAATGGCTCCTGGGTGAAGCTAACCATTGGCACAGCTGAAGTATCATCTATATGATGATACTCAGTGGTACATCTTCACTTCATGATGAAGTGACAGTGCTTTTCCAGCTTTTAGAGGTTGTGCTTAACCCTAACAAGACTGAGTGGTTATGGATTTTACAGCCCCAGAGATCTAGTGAGTTTTCATCATTAGCCTCAAGTTATACTGCGCCATTCAGGGTTGATGCCCAATCTGGGGATTCTCTTGGATTCCTCTTCCTATCTGAGGAGCTGGTAGCAGCCATGACCAGGAAAGGTTAGCATAAATGTATCCATGCATCCGTGAACCATTTGCACCCATTGGTGGATCCTGCTAACCGCTACCATAGGTTAGTCATTTCCCCATCAAACTATTGCAACTTACTCCACATGGTGCTGGCCTTGAAGAGCATTGTGAAACTTAGGCAGGCCCAGAATGCAACAGCATGTAGTGTGTTTGTGACACTGCTGCTAGTGAGTTGCATTGGCTCGCAGTTCGCCTCCAGATGCAATTCACAGCACTGTTGTCACTTGGCGAAAAATTAGTGGTGGGATTGTCTCTATCCAGTGTTTTCTGCCCTCTATCAGATTGGGCAGAGTGGGAATATCATTGGTGAAAATAGAAAAAGCTAGTACAACCCAGCCCACTTAATTGCATCTTGCACCCTTCATTCCTTGTATAAAAGCAATTATTATATTAATATAGATTAATAAATTAATAAAGAATATTCTTTCTGCACCAACTCAGAAAACTCAAACTACCCAAGGAGCTGATGATTAAGTTCTACGGTGGAAATTACTGAGTCTGCCATCTGCATGTCTATAACTGTCTGGTTTGGTTCTGCAACCCAACAGGACAGACACAGACTTCAGAGAATAATTAGGACTACAGAAAAAACTATTACTACCAACCTGCCTTCCATCGAGGACCTGTATACTGCATGAGTCAAAAAGAGGGCTGTGAAAATAATTACAGACCTCTCACATCCCGGACATAAACTGTTTCAACTCCTTCCCTCAAAACGACGCTCCAGACACTGCACACCAGAACAACTAGACACAAGGACAGTTTTTCCCCAAATGCCATCACTCTGCTAAACAAATAATTCCCTCAACACTGTCCAACTATTTACTAAATCTGCATTACTATTACTATTAATCTCATCGTTCCTATCACCTCCCACTTATGACTGTATGACTAACTTCGTTGCTTGTATCCTTGGGATTTATATTGACTTTTTCCTAGTATGATTTGATTGTTTATTTGCACCCTATGATTTTAAATGTTGTACCTTATGATTCTTGCTGACTGTATCTTTTCTTTTTATATACACTGAGAGCATATGCACCAAGACAAATTCCTTGTGTGTCTAATCACACTTGGCCAATAAATCATTCATTCATTCACTCATTCAATCAATCAACCTTCAATTTGATTCACAGTCTGGGACTGGTTAAAAACTTAACAGTTCAAGACCTAACCAAGAACCTAAGGGCTGTTGAGGTAATGTCTGAATTCCAGGTAAGGTGGTTTTTTTGCAAAGTCAGAATATTCAGGTCTGGTAACTTTGAAATTTCCATCTATCTAGGCAACCCTTTTGGGTACTGCTCCAAGAGCTCCTATTACTGTTGGTACAACCATTGATTCCTTCCTCCACAATTGCTAAACGTCAATTTACAGATTGCAGTATTTGGTTATTTTTTCTAGTTGTTTCTCTTCAATTTGTGCATCACCTGGTATTACAATATCAACAAACCAGACTCCCCCCCCGCCCCCATAGTAGTGATGTCAGGCCGGATGTTGTGGGCCAGATGTCTGTCTGTTTGGATTATAAAGTCCCAAGGACCTCTCATTTTCAAGAACTTTGTCAATTTGGTGATCCCAGTCATTTTTGCCACATTCAAACCCAAACTTCTGGCAAAGCTTCCAATGTTATGGATAGTAGTAGCAACAGCAGTAGCATATTTTATTCCTTCTTTCCAAGTCATATCTGAGGGTAAGCTTTTATCAGCCTGAAGGTTACCAAAACGGCCTCTCCAACCACCAAAGCCCTCCCAGATTGAACAGGTTTTATTCCCCAGTGCGTACTCTGCTAAACAAATATAATTCCCTCAATACTGTCCAACTATTTACAAAGTCTGCACTAATATTGCTATTAATCTTATCACTCCTTATCACGCATCTCCTCCCACTTGTGACTGTATGACTCTAACTTTGTCAGTTGTATCCTTACAATTTATATTGACTGTTTCCTAGTATGATTTGATTGCTTATTGTACCGTATGATTAGTATTAAGTGTTGTACTTGATGCTTGACTCTTGACGACTGTATCTTTTCTTTGATGTACACTGAGAGCGTTTGCACCAAGACAAATTCCTTGTGTGGCCAATAAAGAATTCTATATTCTACCCTTTGTAAGCCGGCGAGAGATCCTTCCCTTCCCCTACCGTCACACACACACCTACTCAACCACATAGAATCGCAATGCCTTATTTAAAAGGCCAAGCAAAAGCGCTCTTAAACGCAGACAATCCGGCTCTGGGCCAGCCGAGGGCGCTGCAAAGAGCCGGCGGTGCCGCAAATTGAAAGGCGATCCTCCGAACCGAAGGCGAGCATGCTCGCTGAGCTCCAGACTGCGATCCTCGCCGATGCAGCCGCTTTGGGGCTTTAACCCGGAAGGAGACGCGCTTTTCGGCAGCTCTCCGGCTCGGTGAATCGGCTGGCTTGCGCCGGAGATGGCTACGTTTTTTGGGGAGGTGGTCACACCCCCGAGCCGCGCCGGCCTGGATGACGAAGAGGAGCTCGCAGAAGAGCGCGAAGAGACTCCGGAGGATCGGGAGATTCGGCTGGCGCTGGAAAAGAAAAGGTGGCGAGCGGGAGAGACCCGCGAGCGAGAAAAAAATGGCGGGGGGGCACACACCTCGCTTTCTAGCACGTTCAGAGTACTGCATTTCTTCTTGAAAATTTTGGCCCGGAGGGAAGGGGTGTTGCTCCTGCAAAACGCACATACTGTGGCCGAAAGGGGTGCACGGTGCACGTGGATCTGAAGTCTGAATTATTATTTGATTTGGACCAGTGTTTCTTAAAGTGGGGTTTCCCCCAAGAACTTTTCAGGGGTCCGCGAGATCAAAATCATTTGCCAGCCTATGTTGGGAAATGGAAAAATTTAAATAATGCAATAATAAATGCATTACAATCCCGTCAAATGATCGTGAGAAGCGGGGTAGCATCAGCGAATGAGCCAGTTTTCAGTTTTAACCATCAACTATAACCCATGCAAACTTTAGTTCTTTTGGGGTTCCCCATAATTATTATTTTTTTTTAATGGGAAGGAGACCTGGGAGCAAAAAGTTTAAGAAGCATTGCTTCTGTCTATTAACTTGCTGGATGGAGATTGCAGGATGTGGTACCTCGGGAGCTGGACAAAAGGGGCTTGTGCAATATGCTAAGCTTCAAACAAGCAGCAGGCATTATCATTCCCCAAGCTTATGTGAATGTAGTAATAATAATTTGTAGAACAAACTTGGATGAAGTGCCTCTCAAATTAAGTTTTGAGTATGGTATTTGATTGGTGTAATAAATATGAGTTTTAAACTTCATAATATAACGTGAATATATGATGGAGTGGGCAGTGAAACAGCCTTTTAGCACTATATATTATTCCCCTTTTCAGCAACAAAAAATCCATCTCGCCTGGGTATTCTTAGTGCCTGGCCTGATTCAATTAAGATGGGATTGAACCTGAACTGCTGTGCATTCCCATTAACTCTGGAAGGGCACTTGTGATCATTAGAAGTGTGGGAGAAATGTCAACATTGCTTTTTCTTTTTCTTTTAATGAACCTCTTATTTCAATACTAAAAATTAAGCACAAAAAATCTCCCCTCTAATAGAAGTAAAAGCTGCTTCATTAGGTGGAGTGATTTGCAGTAGAGAAACAGACGTGACAGATTTTTCTTTCCTCTTGTTTCTGTTTCCTGCTGTTTTTCAAACCCAGTTACTATTACAGTAACCACATTGTGTAGCAGCAGAAAAGACACCAGAACCCCACAAACCAAATCCTAACAAACCAAAAAAACTGGGGCTTCATAGAGCTTGCATGTAAGCTGTGTTTTTGTTATATGCTAATTTCTTTATTGTAGTTTATTTTTAATCCAACCTTTGCTTTTACAATATATTGAACTTTTAACTGTACATTCTGGATTCATGCAACACATTAAGTTTACCTGTAGTTACCTAGTCTGCATTCACGGTCTCATGTGAATGCAGCTGTATTGTTTCCAGTGGCTAGAATTTTTTATTTTCTAGTGGGAAACGGTGCAGTAATCATTTTTTTGGGGAAAGCAGCTTAAAAGCTGCTCTCTGTTATCAATGATTGGAGAGTGAAAGCATTTTTAGTCAGTGGTATTATGAACGCTTAGAGGTTTCCTTTGTATTTAGTCCATTGTGATTGTGTGATATCCAAATTGCTACCAGTAGTAGGTAGGTAGCAATTTGGTTGTTTACTTGCAGATGTTTCATTACCCAATTAGATAATATCTTCAGTGCTATAGAAATGACTGAAAGAAAACAAGAGCTCAGAGAACACTAAAAATTCCACATTAGAAATTGCTTTTTTTCTGAGGTAACTCAAGTTTTTTCTGTAGCCTTTTGTTCAGGTCTTTTTAATCCTCTCCCTTTTCTAATACTTAGAGACGTTTGTATCACCTGGAACACCTCAACTATATCAGCAGAAGAAAAGTTTCCTTGCTCAAAGTTTATCTTGGGTGTTGGAGGCAATGCAGTAGGTGAGTAGTGCGTTCTTTCTTTCAGCACTGTAGTACAGGTCATCCTTGACTTACAACAGTTCACTTAGTGACCATTACAACAGCACTGAAAAAAAGGGGCTTTTGTCTATTTTTCACACTTAGGACCATTGCATCCAAGGTCATGTGATCAAAATTCAGATGCTTGGCAACTGATTCATATTTATGATGGTGGCAGTGTTCCATGGTCATGGGATCAACTTTTATGACCACCTGATAAGCAAAGTCAGTGGGGAAACCAGATTCATTTAACAACCGTGTTACTGACTCAACCACTGCAGTGATTCACTTAACAACTGTGGCAGAAAAGGTTGTAAAATGGGGCAAAATTCATTTTAACACATATTTCACTTAGAAATGTTGGGCTCCATTGTGGTCGTAAGTCAAGGACTATCTGTAGCTTGTGGGATCTTGCTGGTTCGTTTCTGTCAACTGAAATCATTTGTGGATCGTGGTCTCTGCAAAGTGAAATGCAATGCTTAGTCTTGCTAATAATGATTGCTAATATAGATTAGCAATCAGTCTAGTGATTCATGTAATAAATCTCATTTGGTCTACAGCATTCCTGTCTTCGTTTATTTTGAATTCTGGAAGCTGGGAGCTGGTTGGATCTGCCCAGTTATGGAATGAGTGGTGTAGAACATCAAAAGTAACAAATCATCTTCCCAAAGATTCATACTGTTGCTTTTATCGGTCAGTTTCAGATCCCACAGTAAGTATATCTCATACTATTTGGTGGAGAAGTTCAGTGTAAACTTTCAGATTATTTTAAAAAGTAAAATTAAAGCAAGTCATGCTCAATTCCTGGTGATTTCTCAACACATCTATGTAAAATTTTTTGGACAACATTCTGGAAGGTGATTGCTATTTTTATTTTTTTGACTTCCCAGTCTGGCCTACAGCCCTGGGTTTCCATTCTAATCGCCCCTTCAAATACTAACCAGAGTTGATCCTACTAAGCTTTCAAAGTGAAGTAAGTTTTTCACCCTGCTGAGACTTCAAGTTAATAATCGTTTTTTGTTTTTAGCTTCTGTGCCACACAAAGGCTTATATACAATTTGTATAATTGTTCATGGATACTTTCTGCCTTTTCATTTTTAAAAACAAAGGAGAGTTTAAAATTAGATTACCATTAATTAAACATTAATGCACTCCTGCACGTTTATATTAATGACAGCTTGAGAATTGAGTCTTTTTAGATACTGTCCACTTAAGCAGGAATTTCTAGCTGAGAATCCTTTATGGGAACATAAGTGATTGTTCTCCATACTAACTTCGGGTGCTGTTGTGGTTTGCGGCAGCCGGTGGAGATGGCAGAGGTATCGGACAGTGAGGATGAAAGGGAACCAGTCAGGGAGTCTGGCGAGGATTTGGATGAGGGTCCTGCATCCGATGCAGGGATGGGGCCAGGACCATCTGAGATTGGGGTGCTGCCTTCAGAGTCTGGCAGCAGCGAAGCAGAGGACCCCAGGGAGCCTGTTCCCAGTCGTGTGTGTGCAGGGCTGCTAGAAGGAGAGAGAGCAGCTGAAACAGCAGGGGCAACTCGGGAGTAAGGCTGGAAGGTGATTGCCCCTCCCATCAGGGATAAAAGTCAGTCCTCGGTGACGTGTTCTTTACAGGAAGCAAAGAAGTTCATTAGATTCTGATTCCTCATTGAAGCCTTGCGAACTCTGGTTTGTCTTTGCTGGAACTTCTGTTGGCATATGTTCTAATTAAGTGGACTTCTATTTCTTGGCAGCCTTCTACAACCCTGAAGGCGTGAGCTTATCTCTCAGATTTGTATTTAATGAGTTTTGGCTTGGAATGCAACAAATTCCCAGCGTTGCAGTAAAAAAAGGTTTGATTTTACACTCAGTTTGTGTTTCCTTAATTTGGACGAAGCCTGGGTCAGAACAGGTGCCAACATCTATAGGCAGTGCTGTTTGGTATTCAAAATATAGTCTCTTTCAATTATCTCATGTGTCAGCGAAGAAGAATCGTGCAGCAATGATTAATTAAGGATGTGCCAGTTGGATATTTGTCCATATTCAGTACAGGTAGTCCTCGACTTACAACCATTCATTTAGTGAACTTTAGAAGCTACAGTGGCATTAAAAAAAGTGACCTTTGACCATTTTTTACGCTTAATGGTTGTTACAGCATCTCCAGGATCGTGTGATCAAAATTCAGATGCTTGGCAACTGGCATGTATTTATGGCGGTTGCAGTGTCCTGGAATCATGTGATTACTACTATTTGACAAGCAAAGTCAATAGGGAAGCCACATTCACTTAACAACCATGTTAGTAACCCCAAAACTGCAGTGATTCACTTAATAACTATGGCAAGAAAGGCCATACAATGGGGCAAAACTCACAACTGTCTTACTTAGCAATGGAAATTTTGGGCTCAATTGTGGTCATAAGTTAAGGACTAGCTGTATAATGTTCAGTGCAAGCATATATAAGTTCACTTAGGTGATTCTGTACTGAATGAGGTTTACTTCCAAAGGAACACCTAGAAGATTGCAGCTTGTGGTTGGTGTGTGTGTGTGTGTGTGTGTGTGAGAGAGAGAGAGAGAGACAGAGAGAGAGGGAGGGAGGGAGGGAGGGAGATTGATTACATTAGGCATTCATGACTCTTTCACTAAAATTAATGTATTTCTCATCCTTTTCAGATTTTACTGTGCCAGTGCAATTGTTATGTGGCTGAAGACCAGCAGTTTCAGTGGCTTGAAAAGGTAATAGGGGACAAATAGCCCAGACAAGGCCAGGGTCAACTCATCAAGCCTCTTCCCTTTCTGAATGCGTGTTTGATTATGTTTTGGATAAAGCAGGTCATGAATTGGAGGCTACATTTATCTACTGTAGGAGTGACTTCATTTAACGTATGTTCTATGAAAAGAAAAAAAAAAGAGGCATTATTTGGGAGTTGTATAGTGATTCAGATTTGAAAGAAAAAAAGATGCTTTGGAATGCATATCCCAAAGGTGCTTTTTTCAGGAGGCAAGTAGACTTTCTTGTTCTTTCTTTTGAAGACGTTTCAAATATAAATGCAAGGAATATAAATCCTCCCATTCCCCACCATCCAGTCAGAGGTGAAGAAGCTTCTTGGATGAGAAGCGAAAAATCTTCAAAAGGAAAAAAAAAAAAAGTCCAGTTGCCTCCTGACAAAAAAGCACCTTTGGAACAACCATGACCTGGATCAGGGGTCTCCAATGAGGAAAATGCTACCTTGGGGGTGTTACTTGAAACCCTGACACACGCACAGCCCTGCTTCATCACATGTAACTATTAACATTAAAAATCAGACTGAAATTATTACAAGGCAGGGGCAGAATCATTAGCAGCTCCCAGTATTTTGGTCTGGCAAGAATGGATATGCCCTAGCACCGTAATGGTGAACCTATGGCGCGTATGCCGGAAGTGGCACGCAGAGCCATCTCCACAGGCACGCGAACCATTGTCCCAGCTCAGTTCCACTGCGCATGCGTGCGCGCCTCCCACCAGCCAGCTGATGTTTGGGTATCTGCCACGCATGTGGGGAGGGGAGGATGCCTGCGAGAGACAGGTCTGCATGCGCAGGGGCTGAGGGAGCACGGGGAGGGTCGCACATGCATTGCATTTCACGGGATGACAAAAAGGTTAGCCATCACTGCCCTAGCTCATCTCTCTGGGGATTGTTCAGCAATGATGGTGTTTTTAATCTTCCTTTTAGGTTTTTGGATGTCTGCAGCAGATTGATTTGCAAGTACTAGTTCTTTCAGCGTGTCCTGTAACAGATTATAAAACCACTGAGTCCACTCTGACTCTCCCTTCACCTTTCCTGCGAGCATTGAAAACAAGAGAGTTCAAAGATAAAGTTTATTGCTCTCTTCTAGAACAACCAAACATTATACGGGATCTCCCAGCAGCAGGTATTTTATACCATATTTTATACCATATATATATATATATAT